CAACGTATATGTAAGCTTGTTTCAATACTAAAAGAATCTCCCATGTTTTTTCTCAAAATGTTGTTTTTGTACGTAAATGCGTTAACTACTTGTGTCAAATACCCTTTTTTGTGAACTGTATGCGAGTAGAAGCATCCCGTGCAGAATGTTTGCAAGGAATTTGGTGTATATTTGTAAGGATTGTGTGTGCATTGTGTGTTATTAATTATTAAACAATTATTGATATAAAAACTAAGAAATAGTAAATAAGAGTAAAAATATGCTGTTATAAAACCTATCTTACTACTGTTGCGGATGTTCTTGTTGGCCCGATAACTTTTCCAAGTCTGCAAAATCTTTGATTTTAATAGGAGGACTTCCATCTCGACCCTCCCGTTTTCTGCCGTAGACGATGCCATTCCGCACCCAACAGTACTTGTACTCATTTTCACGAGCCCAGATTCGTGTGGCACGAAAAAGATGACGGCTTTCATATGTAAGTCTCTCGTTTACGTACACTTTTCTTTCTGGTCCCGTGCCTGTAATTTCAGAGCTATCTAAGGTACGTCGAGCTTTGGCTTGTTTAAGGAATTCGTCTCGCTTTGATTTTCTTGTAAACGATGCTACCAAAGGGCGCGGCAATTGATTATCCGTTGCTGTATCTTCCGCTCGTCGGCCTACTCGGGACACATAATCCAGGTCACAGTCATCCAGCTCCACTCCCACTTTGATTGCCGTTGTTAGGATGAGATGGTAAGGGTTCTCACTGGGTGTTTCCGTCAAACCCAAAATTTCTATCTCCGACCGTACTGCTTTTTGATTTTGCTTATTTAGCTGATCTTGAAGTTGAGCGATTTGTACTTTGAGATTTTCATTTTCTCGTTCCCTTTCTTCTAGCATTCTAATGCGTGTATCATATTCAATAAATATGGCAGAGAGGTCGTCAAAACGCTTACTGAATTCCGTCTTCATATTTGCCATATCTTGTCGAAGTGATCGAATTTCGGCGATTAGTTCCGTATTGGCATTGTTTGGAATGGATGAATTTCCTTCAAAATCTATGGTGACATTTGTTTTTTTGCGGTGAGTGACATTTTCATTTAACCGTATAGGTGTGTTAGTATTATCACCCCCTTTTTTAGTAGCAGCGCAACAATCAGGGCATATCCAAGTCTCTTTCTGTTGCAAAGTCAGTTTGTTAAGGTTTGCGCAAGTTAAATGTAACGTTTTGTTGCAAGATTTCGAAGAGCAAGAGACACAATCTTCCTTTGAAATAATTTTGAGACACCCTGCGCATTTCATGTCGACTTTTACAATGATGGTGGTAGCCTTCTGCACAAAGTACGCTCTGATCGACAATATCCCAGAAATGGGTAATATTTTTGTGGAGCGGCAACACTGTATCGATGTCAAAATCAAAATTTCTTTCGTCAGTTGAGTTTGACACTATCATTCAAAACAAATGTAGGTAGATCAGAAAAATAAATAAAAGGTAGTGAGCATAGAATTCACTTTTACATAAAAATCACAAAATAATACCAATCTCCTCCCTGATACTCATGTGCCTCAGTTATTGTCTCGCACTCTTGATAGCGATAATATTGTGTTGGCAATTGTGTAATATCGTAATGTAGAAAGACGAAGTTAAGTTGTTGTGATGTTTTGAGAATGCGATGTAAGTACCTCAAAGATCCTACATACCTATATATATAAACATGCATTCCAGTGGATGGCTATTTACACGCCATACCAATAATAAAATATAAAACAAGGAAAAGTCGACGCGCTATCTTCACACATTGCCGACTGCGCATTCGGCGTTGTATAGAATACCTAGGCAAAGTATAAAATGAATAATATGTCACTACTTTAAGCACATACAACACAGAACTTTATGATTCTTTAAATAATGTAAACAATAGCACTACGATGACATGTATCTGCTTGCTTCGTATTTTTTAACATTGAAAATGTTTTTTCGCTCGCTCCAGTAGCTTCGCGTTCGCTCCATTTTCGCTGAAAATGCGACTCGCCCGTGATACCCTGACGTTTAAGGTCACGACGACGTATGAGGGCTCAAAAGATATGGAATTTGAAGGGCTTTAAGAGGATGTATTTTTTTTGGCTGAGTCAAAAATTTATTGGGAATCGTAAAAAGCCGACTTTTTTTGGCCGAAAAATCGTGTTTTCACAGAAAATTTGGCACCTCGGTATTGAACCATTATTTTAGGTCATTACATTTTTTTCGATATTGGTGACGGTTGAGGCTGTAGAGGTGCCCTTAGCCGCGAGTTTTGCGTGCCGCGAGGTGTAATACCACGCGGCGGGCGGCTTGCGTGCGGCCACGACAACGTATGAGAGTTCAACTGACGCGGAATTGGAAAGGCTTTAAGATGATATAAAAATATTTTGGAAAAGATGGTTTTGAAAAAAATATATTTTTGGTTATGAAAAAATAATTGAAAATTTTATAATCCTTTTTTTTAATAATCTATAATAGGTAGATTCATTTTCAATGCCCTTTCAAGTCGCGTAGAGCACGAGATCTGTGTTTTTTTTGCAATTAGTAGGCATTATGTTAGTATGATATCTTAGCCTGTATAATGTGTTGTTTCTTCGCTTCTCCGAACGACGCAAGTGAAAATGTTTGTTTTTAGTTTTATGGTCGTTTACATTCTCGAAGTGAACGACGTCGGACATTTGTCGCCTAGTCAGAGGTCCCGGGTTCGGATCCCGTTGGTGCAAATGTTATTTTGATGAATACGCGCATTTGTACCTAGTCGTGGATGTTTATATATATTTATAGATAACTATACTAAAACATATATTTAATCTAGAATTTACCCTAGTATGCCATAACACAATCCTTACAGTGCTTACTTTGAGGCTGGGCTGATTGGGGTGTGTTAGAAATATTTATTTATTCATAATTACAGTGTAACTTTTATAATCGCCACAATTCTTTATTTATTTTATTATTCACAGTCAGCACTTTATTTCGTATATGCAATTAAATTATATTTTTAATTACCTAAAAAGACAGCTATAGGCTATAGCGACCTCTCACTATCACAGGCCACTCGTAGGTATGCTACTTTGCCATCCTTTTTTGTAAGAACTGTCATGCTACGAATTTCAAATGTCACCGGCGAGTTCCGCGGTGAAAACTTACAGTAGTCGGATGTGTAACTCAAGAGGTGGTTTCTAAAAAAATTGAAATCTCACCTTAAATTAGTAAAAAAAGAAGTAAACCTACTACAAAAGTAATAAGCCATTTGAACATTTCGTTCGAAAATCAAATCAAATAGCGCGCTTTCGCGACTTCCCGTTACACACTTCCGTCCCATTTCACAAAATCACTCCCAAAAATTGTAGGAAAGCGAGAGGAAAGATGTTACACATCAATAAATATACAATATTTTAGTTAACATATTGATTTTAATTAATCGTGAATATTAGATAAACTTGACAAGAAGTAATAAAAATATTATTATACATATTACATTACATGGATGATCAAAATCTGTTCCATCTTGTATTAAGATCTTAGGTTTTTTATATAAATATTACAATTGCGTTATTAATAAAATTGTCTCATGAATAAAAATATACAAAACATTAACTTACTCTTGCGCTAAATAATTTAAGCTCCATAATGAGATCGTGGATTCAATTTCCAGTAAAACTTTAATAAAATCGCCACAATTTTTTCGATTACCATTAAATCTTTAATTGTTATAAAATTCGACCTTATCAACAAGCATCCGTGGCTCAAAGTTAGAAAGCACGCCTGCTATATACCCGGGCGGCCTGGGTTCGATTCCCAACAGAGGAAGGTTTGTTTTTATTTATGATAATATTAAAGCCCAATCTCCCTATTCCATCCATAGGGAAGGCCTGTGCCCCAGCAGTGGCGATATTAATAGGCATCACGGTTTCATAAATTTATTCATTTTTTTTGTTAGATTTCGATTTTATGTTGTGTATTACTATACAACAAAGATGTATGAAACGTAAGTACATCTTTATTTTAAAACTAGTGGCCCGCCCTCGCTTCGTTTCGTTGTACTACTTCGGTAGCTACTGCTTCGATTTGAAAAAAAGTTTTTCGTGTTACATGCTGGATTTATTGGGGAAAGCTATAGGGTGCGGCCAGAGTGCACTCAGATTCAGACTCAGATTCAGATTTCGAAAACAAGCGCGAGAAATAAACAGTGTAGTCGAAGGGTACGGTCAGATTGCACTCCTGATTCAGATTCAGATTCAGACTCAGAAAACAAAGCGCGAGAAAAAGCAGGCAACCTGCTTAGACTACACTGTTTATTTCTCGCGCTTGTTTTCAGAATCTGAATCTGACTCTGAATCTGAGTGCACTCTGGCCGCACCCATAGGCTGTATAACATCACGCTACGACGGTAGCGCTACAAGAAGGAGCGGAGCATCGATAACAAATGTTGCAGAAACGGATTAAAAATATTCTATTTGTGAGCATAATTAGTTATTTACTTTTTTTTTTATTTATTTTTTATTTACTAGTTATTTATATATTTTTCTATTGTTGCGTGCGCTGTGTAAATGGTTACAATTACACTAAAATCATGTTGACGGAATTGTTGCTCTTTAAAAGTTCATTTGTCCATCTTTCTTGATTGACACACTTATTTGGTCTTTTCTCTGAAATTAACGCGGGTGACACCGCAGGGGATCTCTAGTTGTAAGAACAGTAATATTTAGACATATATATGGTATCGCGGTTTTTTTATGTACATATTGATGTCCTCTATAAAACTTTAGTACACCACTTTGCTCTATTGTCAATGACTTCCGCAGCGTACGCAATTTAAGGTTTTTCTTTCACAGGTTGGGTATCATTATCGAAGTTTTCATACGGAACCATTATGTGAAAGAATTTGCGATAGGTCCAGTAGTTTCGGAGCCTATTCCGTATAAACAAACAAACAATCAAATCTTTCCTCTTCATAATATTATTATAGATTGTTACAATATCAATCAACATAATAAATTGTTCAAAACCAGATGGCCTGATCTGAACTCGTCTGGATCATTAATAAATAGGGAAGTACCTTTTAATACTAAACAATTTAAAAATATACAAAATGAGCCGTTGTTGACTATCGCAATTTTATAAATTACTAATCTAAATTACGGCATAACCAAATTGTATAGTGTTACATAGTGTAGCTCCTGGAACGTTAAAAACATGAAAACCTCGAACTTTCGGCTACAGTGAATGAAATTAAAAAAATCAAAATGTACAGCTACTAACTATGCCATTAATTTAAAAATTGTGATCTTGATTTTTTTTTAATGAGCGTGATATTATATAACAAGTGTTTTTTAATGATGCCTTGCGGTAGTGTCATATTAGAAAAGGATCGCGCTATAATAGTAGAATTTCGTAATTGGGATTTGTATGAATATCCATTAGTACCCAAACCGCGTAAACATACTTGTTCTATTAAAACTACTTCACAGTTTGAAAAACTAAGATTCGTTGTTATAGCTTTTCAAATTAACCGATATCATAATGCGCAAATGTCAATGGCAGAGTTCGATCACTGCTATGTAAGTGACGTAAGAGTCTTTTTTTAAATACATCATATTATCCGAACGAACTGAACATCAATTTTGCTGATAATAAATATACATTAATTTAGGAAGAGTACACCAGATTCCAAAAGTCTTATCACGGACGCAAAGCAGATCCGTTGTTGAGTTTAAAGGAATATAAAGACACTGCTCCATTATTCGTCATTGACTGTTCTCGCCAACACGAAACGCCGAAGGGATAAATTGAAATACGAGTTGAAATCGAAACTGATCAAGAAATGCCTGATCAGACCGCTGCTTATTGTTTGTACTAAACGACTGTATATTTCAATATAAACCTTTAAGCAGCACCGTTAAAAACTATTTCCTAGTCGTGCACTCTTGACAGAGTGGTCGTGGTCCTGTCTCGGTCGATTCCTGTGCCACTGATGCAATCGCGATGCAGCAGATAGATGCATCAGATCAGATATAAAAAACTATAATGATTAACAATACTATTATTGTGGATAAATCCTTGTGATATATGAATGAAATAAATGGATTTATATTAAAAGATTTAGATTAGTAATAGGCATACCAGAACACACTCAAATATTTTTGATAAAAACTCCCTATTCTTTTTCTGAACTGACTCTACAAGAAAAGAAACATGTTTGGTGAATATAAAGAAAAAGGGGATATCGTTGGAGCGAGGGGTATATCGGTTACAGGGAATTTAGAATACTTATTAAACCCTGCTTAAGCCTACCCTACTTAAAAATTAAGAATAAATTTAAAATCCAGATTAGTTTTACCTAAGATAGCCTAGAACTATTGATCGCAGCATTCGTCTTATCTGACTTAACTAGCAATTTGTCAAAAACGGCACTTTCACTTAGTTCACGTTAAGATTTCCTTATCATCAGTCGTGGATATCAGTCTCACATTAAGTAGGTAAATTCTTTATTAATAAAATCCTAAACATATCTTCATTTATTTGTGGTCATACTTCTCGCCTCCCTCCACTACCGACGCCCTCATTTTTTTCGAGCAGTTTTTTTTTAAATTTTTGAATATAAAAGTTTTTTTTTATATTGAAGGTTACAAAAAAAATAACGGGTAAATAATTATACTTTAATGAGATTAAAGTGATGACTTTGACCCTTGATAGTGCTTATAAATTAAACCCATTTAACGTTCTCCCTCCTGGATATAAAATAATTAATTGAATAAGAACTCCTTGAGCTGTACGTCAGCTTTCAAAACATTTGTCGCTATCGTGTAGGGTTCCTCTGCAAACAATAGAAAAATAATAATGAACGGCATGGAAAAGCAAACTGTTTACCAAAAATATACATATTTTCATATTAATTAACACTATGTAGTTGCCGTCGAACTTCGTACCGCCATAAAAATAAGGGTTATAGTAGAATAGGTTTATGGTAGATGGTTTTCTTAGCATTGAACTCAGCCAAATTCTTGGTACCCCATTCAGAAATGTGGTCCAAAGACTAATTGAGTTCAATGGCAAGATTCTCCCGTTTTTCCTTGGTTACCGCGTGCCTAGCCGCTGCTTGTCCGAGATACCCCGCATGCACTGTACTATCGTCTGCATAGCAATGAATGTTCCTAAGAGAAATTAAGTCATTGATATGCAGCAGAAAGAGGGGGATAGGACGGAGCCCTGGGGAACGCCGGCATTCACTGACATGAACCGCGAACTGCTACCATCCGTAAGGACACGAATTCTACGTTCATGCAGGAAGTCAGCTACCCAAGCACAAAACTGGGCCGGCAGACCGTATGCCGAAAGCGTAGAGGCTGATAGCCAGTGACTCGCCACGCTTATCGATAACCTCACCCCAGATATGAGTCAAGTACTCTAGAAGATCATCAATCAGTCGTTTTGGTCTAAAAGCATATTGACGAGCATTAATCAGGGAGTGATTCTCTAGGTAGCGGGTCAGATGGTTGTTAAGGACCTTTTCTAGGACTTTACATAATACTGAGGTGACTGCTATTGGCCGATAATTTGCCGGGTCTGAGCAATCCCCTTTTTTGGGCACCGGTTGCACGTTAGCATCTCTCCAAGTCTCCAGCACACGCCCCAAAGAATACGAGCATTGGTACAAGCGCGTGAGCACGGAAGACAACTCCACTGCACATTTATGTACGTACTACTGCTGGGATGCCATCAGGTCCACTAGCCTTCCGGACGTCGAGTGATTGCAAGTCGGCACGAACCTCACGCTGCCTGATTTTAATATTAGGCATCGTTGTGCCACAATGAGGTAATCATGGTGGCAGTGCATTGAAATCATCGATTCGGGAGTTAGCCGCAAAGAGTTTTGCCAGTAAATCAGCTTTCTCCTGCGGCTTATGAGTTAGTGTTCCGTCTGGGCATCTCAGAGGTGGCAGCGAGGGCTAGCAGAAGTTCTTTTGCACGGAATTGGCCAAACGCCAATAGCTACGGGAGCCCGTAGGATGCGTTATAAGTTCGTGAACAACACGTGCAACGCGCTGGGCATCCGCTCTGATGTAAGCCTTCTTACAGGATTTGGAAGCAATATTATAGACTGCTTTTAGTGAATCGACCCCGGGATCTTAAAGAGCTGCTTTTTCTTGCTGATCTAAGCACGATATGCCGCTTGCTTACGCTAAGCAGCTTCTGCACAGTCATGATAGAACCAGAGGTTACGTGTGCCCTTACTGATGAGATTGGAATGAGGAATATAGTATTCCACACCCATTACAATCTCCTCAGTAATAGCAACGGCGCTGGTCGATAGGTCCTTGTCACAGAAGCAGCGCTGCTTCCAAGGGACGGACGCAAAGTAGTCACTCATACCGTCCCAATCTGCCGACCCATAATGCCAGATCCGGTGTTTTACCACTGTTGGACGCGGAAGCTTCGGTTTTTTTGCGATTCAATACAATACAAAACACTTTATTGTACACCACAGAAAACATTACATTTAGTACAAAACTATTTAAATCTAGTGTAACAATAGGCGGCCTTATTGCTAAGAGCGATCTCTGCCAGACAACTTTGATATGGAGAGGATTAGAAGAAAGTGGGAGCGACGGGTGGCGTAAATCTCTTGAGTGATATAGGTAATAATATATACTTACTACATGTATTATAATATATACTTTCTACAATATATATATATATATATATATATATACGCATACACACGTATATCAATTTTAGAAAAAATCATGACTCACCAACTTCAAACCATTCTGATCTCTTATATCCTGTATCTTCGCGGGAGGCTGTGATAGCCTCTCGTAGGGCAAATGCTACACTCACTGCTAGACATATCGGAGGTTCAGAAACAGCTGCAATTGAATAAATAAAATAAACATTAAAGACTTAATACGACTTTGCGACAAAATTAGGACATTGGCAACTTAATGAAAGAATTTGACGTCTAAATATTAATTACTTAATTCAGTAATTCATTTAGATTGATATTGGTGTACGGAACTTGTTGTATCACTTTATTGCTAATATGACATTGAACAAAGAAATTTGGAAAAAAAGCTATTAAAATTATAGCATATTATAATACACAGACTCGCCTTTCGCTCCTAACGTTCCTATAGGATTAAAAGAATTCCTCCTTAGTCTTATTCTGAAGTCTATAGGAATGTCCTTGGCGAGAGGTACATCATAGTTCCATGTTCGGTCGGTTAAGAGCTCCCCAGTCTTTTTATCGTAGTCAAGGTGTTCATGTGTCCATAAGCCGATGCCCATAATAAATGCGCCTTCGATCTAGGAACATCACAATGAAAACTAGAGTTCGAGAATAACAAATCACCCAATTACATGAATTAATTAATAAATTTTCACTACGAGCGGTATCGTCGTGTTAATAATAACAAAACTCGTTACCAAAGATTAAAAAAGAACACTAACAAGGTTATAACATCAATGAGAATGTTATTATATTGTAATTGCTTATTACAATGCTAACCTGGTATCAATTCTTTGTATCATTAGAAGCGCTAAGTTTCCTTTCTACTACAGCTTCTTTTATACAATCAGTCAGCATTACGAAATATAGTATATATACAGGAGCACGATAAGATCCCATATCCCATCGTCTACTACTAATATCATGGCATAGTTATGTCACAGGTAAAAAATGACTTGAATATTATTTAAATTGACATAACTGAGTCTTATTAATTAAAAATAATAATTTCTCAATCATTGAATCTCAATTAAAAAATGATAAACAAATTCTTTGTAAGGTTAATCCAAAAAAATATTAAGCTTTGTGTTCAAATCTTTGCCTATTTTACATGGTGAGGCGCAAATTGAATATTGTAATAAATAATCAAAATACCTGGCCTATATCCAATTCTGGATTAACACTTGTGCCGACGTCTTCGATTAAGTCTACTCTTAATATCTCATGCTCTCCTGTCAAAATATCTAATTCTACTTCAGTTACTACAGCCGCTGCTGTTCTATAAGGGTCCTGATCATTAGAGGTCACTCTGTAGCTTGCCTGTAAGTTTATACCTTGATTGAAAGCAGCCTCCACTAACACTTCCCATGTTGGATCATTTAATGTCTCTCTTATAGCCATCATACGGTCTAAAAGAATTTGGCAGCATTTAATAGCTCCAAAACATGCAGATTCTGTAGTACGACTACCACCGTCAGTAAAGCCATTAGGAGTCTTTTGAGCTGTTGTCGACTTTACTTTAATTTTATCCATTGAAATGTTCAATGTATATGCGATGACTTGAATAAGTTTAGTATTGATCCCTTGTCCTATTTCAACACCACCATGTGATACCATAACAGTTCCATCTCCGTGGAAAACTGTCATTAAAATATGGTAGTCTACAAATGCTGGTGCCGGCCATCTTAAGAATGCTACCCTCAGTCCCTTTTTCTTCCATCTATTCGTGCTATTGAACTTCGCAATCTCCTCTTTTCGTTTATAATATTCACTCTCTTTAAGTAAAGTTTGCACAATTTCAATTATGTCAGTAGCTATTGGGTCAATGTTATTCATGCGAACTTCAACCGGGTCTTTATCGATTTCGTACGATATTCTTTCCATGATGTGCTCAGTTAGTGCTATTGCTTCTAATTCCCCTATAAAATAGTTTTAGAAATGGTGAACATAAAAAAGTCTCGAATCTTTTACTACTACTTACATTTAAAGAGAAAACAATAACTGTATAATAATTTATATTATACAGTTATTGTTTTCTAATAATGATAGGTGTGTCTTTACTTACACAATGCATTTTGTGAATACATAGGCATATTTATTTATACTGACATAATTACATATTATCTAGATAACACTTATATACTTCCGGACACATCTATCGTGTCACTTAGTATTACAAGTTTCAACGTTTCATCGCAAAAACATATTTTGTTTATCGATGAGCAATAATTTTACAAACACATGAAAATATGTTTGCTCAATGTAACATTTATTTTTAGCTAGGGACCGTCAAAACTTAAAATGCTAGGTGTGCCAATGGATGTATCGAAATGCTAGGTGTGCCAATGGATGTATCCGGAAATGTATTTAAATATTTACCAGGAGCTCTAGCATAAGTATTAGAAGCAGTATCTGTAGTCACTCTAAAGAGTTTATATTGCCATCTCCTATTGTCGTAAGAATTTCTTAATGCAGGTAAAGCTATTGCGAAAATAGGCTCAGCTGCTAAGTATCCATAGTCTTGAAAGAAGTGGTATTCTAAGTATTGTATCTCACCAGTATTGCTTACACCGACCTGAAAAAGAAGAAGTTCTCTTATAATTTGGAAGATTAACGTGTTTTAATTTTTAAAACAATGATGTAATGTAATCATTCCCATTAATTGATTAATTCAAATATTGCACTATGACTACAAGTTCTATTTTTCCATAAAAATTGTAATTTATTTATATTTAGTACGTATTTACTGCTACCTTTTTATCTACACTTTTTATAGGAATCTGGTACCAGCCTAGATTTTGCCTAGTATAAAATTTCTTCAGTAATTGGTAACCTTTACCTCGTAATCTGAAGTAGCAGGAAGCCGTTTTCCAATGACTCTCATGTTGGACTGTAAACTCATGACAAAACGGCAAGGCCTATTTAATAGGTACGAAGCAAGAGAACAAGCACAAGCTACGTGGGTTGCGCGACTGATCTTGATTCCATAAGCACCACCACATCGAGGAATTGTCAGGTTTATTCTAATAACGTAAGCAAAATATATCGCTCATTTATTAAAAAGTTAAATATTTAACTGAATATTTTCTAGTAAAATTTTCTTTCGATTTAAACATCTAGCAGTTAAATGCTTAAAAATAAATAAAAACATATTTAACTGAAGTTAAATAAATCTGTATTATTCAAAATTACCTGCACTGCTCGATATTAAGAAGTTCAGATAACGCAATATGTACATTGTCACACCACTGCGTAGAGGCAAAAACTTCTAGACCATCATCATTGGGTCTTGTTACACAAGTCAAGGTTTCCATCGTAAAGTGATACTGGCCAGGAACGTAATCCCCTCCTTTAATAACTCGTTGAACATTAATCCCTTTTCCCCGAGCTGGGAATACAAATACGAGTGACACACGACTTGGATCTTCCTTCCTCACATCATCAATTGTCAATAGAATTTTTCTTTTATCCACTTTATACGTTACTCGCACGAGTAAAGCTGCTCTATTCGCTAATTTTTCAGTTTCGGCTACTATCATGCCTATAGCTTGGTCATAATATTTCACCAATTTATCAGCAAATACCTCTTCTGGTACAAGTTGTGTAGGTACTTTTTGTGATAGGTAAGAATTTTTTCCTGGTATATCTTTTGCAGAGAAGAAAGCTACAACTCCAGGAAGTTTCTGAAATAAAATATAAGCCGAGTCAAAATAATTCTTGATGATTTATAGGTACGTATAATTGTAAAACAGTTACCAATGCTGGTGTAGGATCAATACTTTCAATTTCCCCAACGCATATATCCGACGTCACAAATGCACAAAATAATTCTTGTTGTCGCACAGGAATATCATTTACGTATGAAGCTTCACCAGCACACTGTATTAATGCGTCTACTTTGGGCATCGGTTCATTTATTGGCCATATTATAGGATTTGTATCATAAACTTCAGAACCTTTAGATAGAGGTCTTGTTCTCCTAAAATTTCTTACCCCTGACCTATAGTGGGGCTTCAGCTTAGCTTCAGGAATTAATTGGAGTAAGCCCTTTGGAAAACAATAGTGGATAATTATTTATAATAACCATAATATAACTTAAATGTTAATCAAGAATATTATTATTATAAAGCGTATAATATTTTTTAAAAATGCAATTCATAATTGGTGCAATATTCAGAAATATTTTTAAAAACGTTATATAAAAAGACGATCTATTTAAGATCATTTAACTATTTACCTTGTAAAATAGTCCAAGCGCACATTTCTTTTTATATTCCGGTTCTTTGTCACCAGGGATGAATTCAACGATTAGTTCTTTTTGTAGTATTTCAAGAGCACTTTGCAGGACTTCATTAGTGAAAATGTCCTTATTCACAAGGAACTGCTCAGTGTGCCGAGCACGATTAAATTTTTCCGATAAACCGCCATAGACGATTCTTGCTGACAAAACTGTGTTTTCGTTATGAACATCAAACTCGTATAAGAAACCGGCATTTACTTGAGCGTGTGCATTTTGGGCTCGAGGCATTATCTAAAGATATACGTTTTAAATATTTAATTTCAAATCTACATTTCTGAAATGGTTTTTAATAAAATCCATAGTTTGCTAACACTTACTTTAAAAGAAGTGAATTGAAATCGTTTTGATAGTGGCGGAAATTTCACAAGTGTTATAACCCGCCCTGTCATGTCTAAAGACAAAAAATCGTCGGGTGTCATTTCTATTACCTTTTTTTGATGAACTGCAAATAAAACCACACCACTCTGAGTTTAATTTTAAGATTACAATTTCAAAGTAAAAGCAGAAATAAGTAAAACTTAAGTCTGTTCAAGCTGAAGAATTCAATACTAACCAATAGTTAAATACGCGCCGACTGTTTCAAATAGTAAGAAAATATCTGACGAAAAGCTAGGATATCTGTGTTTTGTCATTAGATTACCAGCTATTGTCCCAATCTGAAAATTACAGAGGTCTTTAGATACCTACTATTTAGCTAAATGAATATTTACCCTAGTGCCATAGAATTAGAAGTACTTACGTTTCTGACAGGTATATGTGCTACTAAATCTAAATGTTCATATATTTTTTGTAAATATGCAAATTCGGTATTTGTTTTTGAAACCGATAACAATATGTCCATTAGATCAGTTAAAGTAGTTCCAGCACCGATAATAAGGTTTTGATCTATGTAATGGCCCTTGAGTTCTTGTACAGAGCTAATATCTATTAAAATTTTTGGTAATTCTAATATTGGTACCGCACCTAGAAGGCAAATAATGGATTTAATAATTATTGCAATATTTTTTTTCCAATTTTTCTTGTATACAAATAGCTTACCCCTTCCTGTATGGCCTCCTATTAGCATGTAGGAATCATATCCTTCTTCTTGTAAAATGTTAAAAATATCATCAACTTGCTTAACTCTAAAGAAAGTTCGGCCATCTTTTAGTACAATTTTCTTCATGTCTGTGTTCATGTCACTTTTATTTACAAAGCACCAATTCTTGTCGCAGACTTTTTTACAGTTTTCACGTTTACATAGTTTTATATCTTCAATATCAACCATAAGTTTGGGTTTTGGTGAATCTTTAGCAAAGCTTTTGAAAGCATCTAATATAGGTCTGTACCCAGTACATCTGCATGTGTTACTGCCGAATGAATTCTCGACTTGCATTTGTGTTAGATCATAATGATTTGACTCCAACAAGCTGCCAAAAAAACCAAGCATACGTGAGTGTTCTGGAACAGTCGATTGGAACGAAGTTAAAAAAAAAGTATACACTACTACCCACAATACTTTACGAAACTAACGGTCTTGTGACGGAATAATTTTACACTCTTTGTCGCCTAGCTGACAATTCCGCACCGTCCGAAAACAACTCCGTTCCAAGAAATAGTTGGCCGGAACAAGTCGTAATGAAATTAATTATATCACAACACAGTTTTATGCTAATAACATATTATAATTATAAAGTTTAATTCGTTACTTAACGTAAATATAGTAACATAAAACTCAATACAATAATATAGGTATAATGAGAAGTATACAAATATAACGTAGGTAACACAAAAAAGTTTTACTTAATAATAAATAGGTAATTTATGAATTCCGCAGAATTTGAATTATTCTTAGGTACTCGAGCGAATAATTCGATTCCATTGCCGACTATTACGACAGTAGCGAAAATTTCTCTTTGATGCATGCACCTATTGCATTAACACAGAAAGATATGCTTTTGTAAGACTTATAATGGAATGGAATATTTCCCTCTGGATTGGAATTACGACACTAGATTAGACCTAAATTTATTATTCCTTTAAGTCTAAGTCCGGGAGCAAAAAGCTTACTACATATGTGATTTCTATTGGCTTTGATTTTATGACTCCATATCTGTTTACGATTTCAGCTATCATGTCTAGTTTTTCACTTAAATAAAAGTTTCGTTTTTTCGTGTGTCCTCTTCAACGGTTGGATAGCCAATAACCCCCACTACTGTATCTTCATCGCGCATCGCCGGCGCCGAAGGCGCCGCGACGTGTGGGAAATCTACGTGGGACACTCTCTCTAAGTTTTGAGAAACTAAAAAACTAACCTCTATGAAAAAATACTTTTATTAAATCTTTTTAAAGAAATCTCCACCAATTTTCAATCATTTTTTCCAGTCCTCCGCAGACACCTCTTCCACGGCCTTCTCCAACGCTGCTAGCGTTTCTTCTGGCGATGAAAACTGTATCCCTTTGAGCTGATTTTTTTTTTATTTTAGGGAATAAAAAGAAGTCACACGGAGTAAGGACAGACTGTAAGGAGGGTGTCCCAAGACTTTGATTGGTGTGGAGTCTAGGAAGTCCTTCGTTTTGATCGCAGAGTGCGCGGGCGCGTTGTCGTAGTGAAGAAGGACCCCGCGGAGCCTGGTGTTAGGTCGCTTGTTGCTCATTGCAGAAAAAACTTCTGGTAGGTATTTTGTGCTATACCATTCGGCGTTGATGCTGCTTTGGTCTCGAAGTGGAATGGAAATTAGGTACCCCGTCAAAGTGAAGAAACCAGCGATCAAAATTTTCCCTGCGCTCCTCTATCGCTTCACTTTCGTAGGCGTTGGTTCATTTTGAAATAGCCAAACTGTCGACTGACGCTTTGTTTCTGGATCGCATTGATAAATCCAGGATTCGTCACCTGTCACAACATCGTTAACGCGGCCTGACGAGTCTGCATCAAATTTTTGTATCATATCATTGCACCAATCCACACGGGCCTGCTTCTGAGCTTCGGTGAGGTTGTGCGGCATTCAGCGGGAAACTATCCTCCTTAGGCAAAGGTGCTCGTGTAAAATCTTGTAAACACTTCTTGAACCAATCTGCAGAGTATGCTGAATCTCTGCGTACGTAATTCGTCTGTTTTCTTGAATTATTTTCTTTACTGCCAGCGCACTTTCTTCGATAATAGCCGTCGTAGGAGGTTTTTATCCCCCAAAGTAAGACGAACGCGTTTGAACTCGCTACACCAGCGGTAGATGGTTGCTTTTGAAGGTCCTTCATTAATAAAACAAGTTCGAAATCGACCAAATAACTCATTAGGTTTTAAGCCACATTTAAAATTGTAAAAAATCATAGTACGATAATGTTTTCGATGCAGATCCAATTTTTAAAGAGACAAGAAAAATTTCATTGGCTACGCATTATATTATTATATATTGCATTTAAGTTGATGATACGACGAAAACAGTTCTTCTATCAGCTTTGTGTAATTTTCAGCCTTTCTATTGCCAAGAAAAGGACACAAATTTTCAAAAGCTTCTCTCAAAGCTCTTCTTTATTCTTCTAACAATTTTGATTTGAACAGTTGATCTTTAAAGATTTCTCTTATTTCGGTGACAATAAATATGACAGTATATATTCGCGTCACATTTATGAAGAATTTAGTTTATAGATATTTAAATTACTCTCCAGCCCTGTTCATTGCTATGACCGAATTGTTTAGTCACAGAACACAAAGAAATCCATGTACCAATGTTCACAAATACCGCTGCCTGCACCAATAAGAGACTAATTCGAGTGCAAACAAAAAATGCTTTTGCATTTTGCGTCGAAATTAGACGTGCCAAGTTAATTTTAACAACATATTTGGATTTAACGTAATCATTATTACTTCCACATATACAATTTTTTGCTCTTATTTTGATGCCGACCGGCCAAGTGCCGTACCACGCGCATTGTAGAGTTCCGTAGTTGCCTGTCGCTACCACAATATATTGTGGAGGAGTCTTTATTTTCTGTATTGAATATCAATATCAATATAAACAACAATTGTTAATTTTTTTTAGAATGGGTGTTTCAATGCAAAGTTTTACGGTACAATGTATTGTTCTACCATGTATTGTTTTAAATGTTGATGATAACAACATTTTCGGTATTTCAGCACTGTTGCAAGTGCCATGATCACGGTGTAGTAAACTCTTGTTACTCTGGTACTTGCAACAAAGCCGAACTATGGCAAAGAGCAAAGTACATGGTAATAGTTATTCGACAATATTCGTGGCCGAGAGGTTTGTACGCAGGGTTTCATGGTGTCGCCGACTCGAGAGGTCCCGCGTTCGAATCCCGGTGGGGGCAGATGTTTTTGTGATGAATACGAGCATTTGTAATCCAGACATGGATGTTTAATATGTATTTCTATATAAATATACTTATATATGTACTGTATACGTATTCTATCCGTTACTCTAGTATACCACAACACAACCTTACAGTGCTTACTTTGGGACTAGGCTAATTGGTATTTATTTATTATTCCGCTAATTACTAATAAATCTCCCTTAGCGCCAGCTTCTTCTCAATTGAAAAGAATAATTACCTGTACATGCTCATGACCCATCCGGGGCTACAGAAACCGCATTGTGTACCGTTGTACTGGGCTAATGCCTTCTGTACGGGATGGTAGCCGCTACGTCGATCGCCTATACCCTCCACAGTTTTCACTTCCCAGTCTTGGCACGAAACCACCGGCACGAGGCACTGAAAAAAGTTGGTCCAATATTAAGTAGTATATTGTAAAAACGTATAAGTATCATTCCTTCATCATTGACGACCTCCGTGGCCGAGTGGTTTGTACGCCGGGTTTCATGGTGTCGCCAACTCGAGAGGTCCCGGATTCGAATCCCAGTATGTGAAAATTAGGGAATCCATCTGGGTTTGTGCACTGAGCACAGTATCATCATCAGCCTATTAATGTCCCCACTGCTGGGGCACAGGTCTTCCCTACGAATGGAATAGGGAGTTTTGGGCCATGACCCACCACGCGGGCCCAGTGCGGATTGGTGGGTGCTAACGACTGCAGATGCAGCCAGGACCAACAGCTTAACGTGCCTTCCGAAGCACGGAGGAGCTCGAGATAGTAAATTTTTGGTCACCCATCCAATGACCGACCACTGCGAAAGTTGCTTTACTTCAACGATTGCAGCCGAACGCGCTAACCACTTGCGCTATCGAGCTCCTCCTCGAGCATAGTATAGTGGGATCCAATCATTTGGCGGGTGGGATGAAAACCTGTGCACAGGTTTTGCGCACAGGAGGTGCTCGCTGCTATGCGCCTACATCTTCCTACATAGCCTACATTCCTACTTGCGCTATCTTTACAGCCGCAATTAAGTTCGAATCGCACTCTAGCATTGCTGCTAACCTTATAACCATCATAAAGGTAATGATGATACCCACCGAATTGACGGAGAAGGTTCTCTTGTGTCCGTCGTGGTCTGAGGCGGTGACGGCGACAATGCACGCGCCGCAGCCTCCTTCCTTGCACATGTACTTGGTGCCGGGCAAATTGAGGTAGTCCCGCACATAGTCGTTTAGCGAAACGTAAGATTCTACCTCAGAGCCAACTGCAATTCAAAAATGACACCGACACATCATTGTATTCTAACAAAAATTAAAAACTGCTTTCATAAATAAATTTATTATCATATGGCCCGCTTTCGTTTCGCTTCGGTGTAGACTATTAGTTTTAAATCATTTGTTTTAAACAGTTGAGTTACTTTGCTATCCATACTTTTTTGTTAATATTTGCCTCGGGATGAATAAGGAACGCAATGTGGGTTGAATTAAACAAATATATTAAAATAATGTTGTAGTTTGAGTAAGGAACAATAAATGGGAGTTAAGAGTTAATATTATAGCCTATAACACTCACAAATAACGTGGCTTTGTATTGGTATAAGAATTGTCTCAATTGGTTGACAAACCAATGCAGATGCAGTGGATAGAGATTACCCCCTACAATTTCATAAACTCACAAACGTCAGCTTTAATTACTTCTTATTTCGTTGAGTAGGCATTTAATCAATTCGTAGCAATTATTTATTACAAGAAACATGGTCTGTATTTTAAAATCTGTGTAACCACCTATACAGACTGCTTAATTGCATATCTACTTATTAATTCACAAATTGCTGATTCGCATCAAACTGACAGTTTAATTAGGCAGAATAAATTTTGTAAAATCTCCTAAAGTTAAGTTAATTAATACCTTCGGTAGTAGGCAGGAAATCGCACGCAGCTGGCGACCCGTGAAGCACGCGCACTCAATTATTGTGTACTTTGGTAAAACGTTTAAGCACATCGCGCACTAGACGGCCACGACCACGCCCAGAAGCGTAAGAAACGACCAGCCGGCCTATTCGCTAACTTTTTTGACATTTACAGTGAATAACTAAAGAGAAAATTGCACATCCATCGATGCTTTTCAGCCAAGCATCTGTGATGCTAGCTAGATAGCTCAGTAAGCGTATTCCTTAGCTGCTTTTGACCGATGGAAGTGATAATCACCAAGCTATTTAGTGATCCACTGCTGCCTTGTTAAAACGCCACTAGGATACTTTGTTCGGAAAAGCATCGATGTATATGCAATTTTATTTTTAGTTGCACACTGTTTTCAAAATAGTTTGCGAATAGGCCTGCTGGCCGTTGCGGTCACTGGTGGTGGTCGTGACCTTGGTCGTCTAGTGCGCAAGGTGCTTTAATCATCCATCATTCGTACTTGAAGCATGTAATATTTTATAAGACACGTCGCATGAACCTAAACTGTGGCGCTTTATATAGTGAGTTTGTTGGTTTGTTACACTTTCACGCCTAAACCACCTAAACCCCTGAATCAATTACCATAAATTTCGATATACAGAAAGATGGGAATTTGGAGACGGTTTTAGGCTACTTTTTATACGAAGATCTTATAGGGGAAACTTTGCTTCAAACTTTGTAGAATGTTTGTTATTAATTAGTTGTGTTTTTTTCGTAAGTAATCCCTAAAAACTAAAAAAGGAGATGAAAATAGACTAAAAGCTTGCGAATGGAAATGTAAGGGTACGTAACACACATAATCGGGCCGGCATAGTCGCTTCGGCAGTATTTGTCGAACAAGAAAGTCAACCCGTCGTAATTACTGCCGAAAATTCATCTGCGTTCGATTATTCAATTAGACATATTAGATTTTACCGCCCGGTTGTGCCGATTATTGCCGGCCCGCTTATGTGTGTACTCTTAGATGATTGAGAGTTGTGTAAAATGCCCTAGCTATTTTTTTCAGGTGATCAGCATTGCACGGCCTCCTCCAAATTCAGCCTAGTAAAGGAATATGAAAGTCTACCTCTATAATAAGTTTTAAGAAACACAGAAACACTATATTCTTTCGAATTGTATATATTATGATACAATTCGATACGTTTACCTAACTTTAGAAACCCTGCACGTGTCCCTTAATTAGCGCTAAACTAGCAGCAACAACCTCGCTGAGCGAAATCCAAAAAGACATAATTTGGTCACAAATGGTCCTTATGAGGACCAACAGGCAAAGGACCATCTTTTCGTACCAACTGAATATTAAAGGCATCATCATCATCAGCCTATTAATGTCCCCAGTGCCTAGGGCGTATGCCTTCCCTTCAATAATAAATGCATTTGAGTAATAGAAAACAAAAACTTTGTATTTTTTATGGAAAGACCGAATTATTAATGTTTGTTGGATTTGACTTACCAGAGCATTGGCGTCCATTAACACTGAACGTTATCCGATCCATGTTAAGAGCGTACTGTAGTATTGAAACGTTTGTAATAATTAATAATTAATCAGTACCGCACCGTTTAAATACAATCAAGGATATTTTCAACTCCACAGGATGTTTCCAACTATGGAAAATTTCAAAGTAAGTAGAAGTAGTTATGTAAAGAAATATTGCATTAATCTAAGTTTTAACAGACTTCGAACGGAAAAATCAGCTCGCACATCGGTGTTGCAATTTTTCGCATCTACATTGTAATGTTAAAGTTGACGTCACACAGTAGACGTCATGGAACCGAGCGTTTTGGGCGGTAAATTCAAAACCATTGAATTTATTTTTATAAATTCAACTTTAATTGGTTTAATGGAGAAAAAAAGACATTTATTTTTATTTTTCTGCTAAATCGTTTGTCCCAATCTTTAAATATCAGCAGTTTTCAAAAATTTGAATAATAACCTATTATTCATACGAACGATACTATAAACAACATCAATAAGTTTCATTTGCAGTTGCAAGGAAATGCAGCTTTGGTTATTAAAAGCTTTGATTTTAAAGCCAATACTGCTTGGGAATTGTTATGTAAAACATACGACAGTAAACGTTTGCTTGTAAACAATCATGTACTTTTATTAGTACGTTTTATTAGCTTTAGATTAAACATAGTTTCACTAAGCTATTAAATAGGGGTGGTGTCAAAATAAAACGACTCTCTAATGCGCAATATTATTATATTTCAAAATCAACAGAAATATACCTACTGTTTTAATCTATGTAATAAAATCTTAAAATTAAAAATGATTACACTTTATATATCAGAAATGTAGGAATACATTACCCACTGATTATAAAAATCGTAGCAGCTTTTGCTTTACTACATGAGAATACAAATAAGTTACCGCCTTTTTTGGGTTCCGTACACAAAAGGATAAGATGGAACCCTATTGCTGCCACTTTGTCGTCTGTCTGTCCGTATGTCACGAGTATCTAGTTCGTAAACAGAATAAGTTACAGAACTGAAGTTTGAAGAAGAGCGCAACCACCATGGCCATCATCTCTATCCTCCCTGAGGCATATGTAACCAGGCACTTTAAATCGCATGTCTGGTTTCAACCATGTCTCAGAGATGGCAGCTATGGCAATGTGATATTTGTCGAGTTCGTTCGAGGTTCGTGTAGTTTGGGGATAACACTTCTAGTGTTCCATTGAAGAAACTGAAAAGTGTTCATCGTTGGATTTCTCAGGTCCATTTTTGGGTTGGACATATGCTAGTAAGTGTAGTTTATGGGCAACGTTGAGCGGTAAGGCATCATTAAATATGCAGAGTATATCTGTGAGAAGTGAAATAATATGTTCGAGGAATCTGTCGTCACTCGATGTAGAATAAGGGTTCTCTAGATTGGACCCATTGGGTAAAGAGTGAGGAACTTCAGAGACAATAGATTGATGAGCAAGACGGTCAAAACCTTTAGGGACAGGCGCCATATTAGGGAGCAATACAGTTTTTCCTGTAGAACCCTACTCGAACAATGACGAAGTATATGAATCAAGTAATGGCGTCGCGTTAGAATCGCCTGTTAGAATGCTGTAATAAAGGAAATTATAAATAAAACATCATTACAGCAGAAGTAATCAGAAGTTTTATTTTTTTGTATTTTTTTACATCCATTGCATATAAAATATTAAAAAATCAATAAATAAACTACTTTGGTATTTGTTTAAATTCTTACGTTTAAACATCAGTCTTTACTGGGTAGGTACCCACGGCAATTTAAACTGAAAAAAAAATGATTGAAGCTGTGAAAAATAGGCCTTCTGGTCGATTTCTACCACAGCGGCTAATCTCAACGAGATTAACCAGCTACGCAGGAGATATTTATTATATTAGTCCGCGCGGGATTCGAACCCACGACCTTCAGGTTGGGGACCAACGCTCTGACGATAATTCAAATATGAAGGTATTACTGTAAAACTATAAATAAAATCGTATTTATTTGTACTCCAGTACCTACACAGGGATATACGTATTATTAATCAAAGACCAGATAAGTGAAACTATCCTCAATTTAACAGCAGAACGAGCCACGAGGTATACCTACCCCGTTGGACAAACATTTGCAGAAGTCAAAGAACTTAGCTAAAATTTTTGGCGCGAAATCTACAGTCACTACCTATAGAACAGGCGGGCTTTAGATGTGGCTTCTCAACAATTGATCACGTATTTACAGTAAGACAGGCTATAGAAAAGTGCAACGAATATAATCTGCCAGTTGTCGACTACGAATAAGCAGAAGAAATAACCAACATAAACGGAGAGCGCTTAACTCATTTGCGATTCGCTGATGACATAATAGTCTTTGCTGAGACCACAGCGGAACTACAATGTATGTTGCAGAAATTATATGACGCCGCGATAGCGGTTGGCCTCCGTATGAACACCTCAAAAACAAAAACAATGTGCCAAGGCCCAAGTATAGAATACATAGTAGTAGCAGAAAATCGTATCAAACGGGTGGAAGACTATTTGTATTTGGGGCAGCTCATTACACCCGATAAAAGCGGGCAGGCTAGAGAAATCGACCGTCGTATTGGACTGGGTTGGGCAGCGTTCAGCAAATTATCCGACATCTTCAAAAGCAAGATGCCACATTTCCTCAAATGTCGCGCATTCACTCAATGTGTTCTTTCTGTTCTGACTTTTGAAGCCCAAACCTGGACTATGACAAGGCAAGTCGCTCAGAGAAAAATGGAGCGTGCTATGCTCGGTATATCCCGGAGACATCGTGTACGCAATCAGGGCATACGGAAAAGAACAAAATTACCCGACATTGCTCGCGAACTCGCAGGGAAGAAGACAGATGGAGTCAAGCTATTGTGGAGTAGCGGCCTAGAAGAGGACGCAGAAACGTAGGCAGCCCGCCAGATGGTCCGATGACATCACCAGAGTAGCAGAAATAAATTGGATCCGGATCGCACAACACCGAGCAAATTGACGCACCATGGAGGAGACCTATACCCAGCAGTGGGTGGATAAAGGTTGAAGAAAGTACGGTGCGGACAGAGATGCTCGATCACCTATTCTTCATTTGTTTGTATGTAGCAAAGTTTTTCTTAGTTTTTGATTGAATATAGTTTCACTAAGCTATTTAATAGGGATAGTGTCAAAATAAAACGACTTTATAATGCTCAATATTTTTATATATTAAAATATTAACAGAAAGATTCCAGTGTTTAGCTTAATAAAATCTTAGAATTAAAAATGTTTACATTTTTAATGTTAGAAAAATCTCAAATAGGAGTACATTATAATGTTATAAATATTGTTCTGCAGTTCTATTCTGTAAGAATTTATTGTAAAAGAACGACACATCGTATTGTCCATCACAAGTCACTACTTTTTTCCAACTTCTAGGCAGGCAGCATCCAAATACCACGCCTGAAAACCTCTTTATCTTTTGAGAGTCACTTTTGTGAAACGCTGCTCCGACAAACCCTGTGCCATCGAGCGGAATAAGTGATAGTCGGATGGTGCAAAGTCAGGTGAATACGGAGGGTGGGGTAACACTTCCCAATTGTGATTGATAATATATTGTGAAAGATAAATGTAAATATAAACTTAAGTTTTTGTTTATATACTTGTTAGAGCAAATCGTTGTAGACAGGTAAACCCATGTTTAAGGGTTTTTCGATACAGCCATTGTATATTAAAATGTAATGATTCGATTGAATAAATAAATAAATTAAACCAACGTCACATCTTCGTTTCTTCCGAGGAATCAACCCATCACGTTTACTGAACCCTTAGTGTTTTTAAATACTTGTTGACCAGAACAGCAACATGCGGATGTGCATCGTCCAAAAACAAATATACGTACAGTGACGATAATAAACGATAGTTCTGTATCATATTTTAGCCCAAAATGTTTTATTTTGCTATCAGTAGGAAAATAGAAGGTCTAAAATATTGAAGAAGAATTAGCAACGATTGCCATAGCATTACATATAGAAGATCTGCATAATGATGTGGTTCACCGACAAACGAAAGTAAGTGTTTTAGTAGAGTGTAGTAAGACGTTTTTAGAAAGCCAAAGGGTGCCGTACAGCTTTTAGGTCTTTGCTTGAGTCCAGGGGCAGCCGGCCCCGGGCCTTTTAAAAATTTAGAGTTCGGTAACGAGCTAACAAAAGTTTGTTTGGCAACTTTTGCCGAAGAAATGCTTGAAGGATCAGAGTGGCTCGGCCTTGGTGGGTGGAATGGTAAAAAAATTAATAAAAATATATTCGAGTAGCACTTTAGCGTGGATTCTAGTATGATTAGGAAGTCGGGCAGGGTCAAAATTGAACCAAAACACAACCGTATAAATCATAAACCGATTAATTTCAATCTTGTGAGTGTGGCATTCATTATTATACTTGTAATTTCTCCAAAAATATCGTCACGTCTATGAAAATTTTGTGTATCAAAAAATGTTTCTGTATAGGTACTTTTTTCTATTTACGGGGAGTGTGTGTACACAGTTCTGTTTGTGTTTGAGATGAATCTTCCTCTCACGATGCTGTCTCTTCCGTGTATTCGTACGTTACGGCACGGTAATAGTGGTTACGGCTTTCCACTGCGATCTTAGTCTTCTACGTAAAAATTACCGTTTTTAAACTTTTAAAACCAATCACGACAAGTTCTCTCACTCAAAGTAGCCTCATTATACTAGTATGCTTCTGCAAGCAATGATTTGCCTAAGATGCCTATATTTTTACAATTAAAGAAATAAATTAAAAGTACTCGCAACTGATGCTTATATTTCATAAATTTAAAATTTTAAGAACGGAAAAAATATATAATGCTATTATGAAGTCAATAATAATTTAATTTTAGGTTTACTAAATGGCCAAACCACTACTGGTTTACTATATGCCAATTTTGTTAAAAAAAATATCCTACGCCTTGTGCAGCACCGTCGTTCTTAAAACTTATTTGTACGCCTAATATAATGCTTCGATCACATAAAAATATCTAGGGACAAGATATAAATATTCATAACAAAATTTTGAATTTCCGCGATGATCCTTTTGATGTATTTTCGCTGGTAGAAGACAGTACAGACTTTCCGCTTCTTAAGGAGTCATAATAAAATTTTATCATCAACAAACATATCATGTTTAAGGCTGAAAGAAATAAACAAAATATATTTAAAATGTAATTTGAGTAATTAACAACAATTCAATTTCTTAGAAAACGAAAAAAAATCGAGTAAAAATATGAATGACATCGGTTATGAATAATAGTGCTAGGTATGCGATCGTTTTTGAATTTCTAGTGAATCGTTACAGTGAAAAAAATGTAAACTTTTCATACATCGAGCACATGATTGTAATAATAAAAGCCCAACTAGGAAAACGAAGGGAACCGAAAACTACTGTTTTTAAATATTCGATCAACAA